GAAGTCATTTTTACAAACAATATCCTTTGAAACCATAGGCTATTTCGACTTCCCTGAAACTTTTCCCCATGTGATTATTGGTTGCCCCGGTATCCTTGTCAACAAAAATTTAAACATAAGTGTGCCAAATTCCTCTCTTTCTTGCCAAAAATGCTCTACTTTGTAGAGGCCATTGTAAGCATAAGTTTTGAAAAAACTTTTCTTAGCACCTGTATCTGTCTAAAAATGTTTAACGCCATGAATTACTCTTACATGAATTTCTGCTACCATGCTATTCTTTAGTGCAAGGTTTCTGCGTTCAAGTTTTTGATCCTTTGGCTTTTTCCTACAAACCCTAGGATTTCCACCTTCACCTGAATAAATCACGCTATCATGAGATTCTACATAGTTGCATAACGGCCAGAATTAACAATGCATGTGGCCAAAATTTTCCCATCCTTCTTCATATAATCACATGTTGAAATGATGAAGGCTAGCAATAGTTAGTTCATCCCTGTTACGAAACTCATCACCAACCTTAACTCCTGAAATTGGTTCTAATTGTTTTCTCATCTTAACCCATGTTCCTTTCTTTCTAAGATGCATTGATGTTTCAATATCAGGTTGTTTGTTGGATTTAACATCATGTTCTTGCAAGAGCTTAGTAAATGTCTCTTGATATGCATCCAAAGCCTCATTGACATTGTGAAGTTGTCCATCTTTATCATCTATTCTCGGCTTACTGGGAAGAGGCTGGCTTTTCTTTTCTCAAGTGTTTCTATTATAACCATAAAGAGCTCTTATTTTTGTATCAAAGGAATTGCAAAGACACCTATATACAAAGTATAAAGCAGAAACAAACCATACATTAACCAAATACAACCGTGCTAATAAAACAGAATTGCATCCAGAATATAACTAGTAGAACTTTTATTGAAAAATTTGTATAATCTTCAGCATTATAATTTTAAATAGGCAGAAGTAATGAATACGAGAAAGATCTATTAATTAAAGAAATTTCTTTAAATGAGTATGCATACACGGGCGTAGTCATATTGGTTAGAGCGGATGTGCTCCCTACTTTGCACTCGAGTTTGAATCCCCCTCCTTGTTTTTTAGATTAGATTAAAGTAGAATATTATTTATATTTAAAAAAATGAGCATAACCATATTAAATATACATCAAACTCGAGAAATTTGCTAGAAACTAAGGTTGATATTAAAAAAGTTTTCTAAAAAAATAATAATAATTCCAAGCAATGTAAAGTATTCTTTACAAGTGACAATTGGAAACCAAGGTCAACAAAGAAGCAAGTTACCACATTTTTCCCTCTTTCTTACTTGAGGGGCAACTATTTAATTATTCTTTGTAATTGCTCAATTGTTTAATGTATATATTCTTAGCATGTTTGAGTATTGGAGTTATTCTAATTCCTCCTTATCTTGTGTATTTTAGTATCACATTATTAAAATTAGTTCAAGTCCTGACTTCCATTGTATTTATTAACACATAACGAATAAAAGACTATGTTTGTTCCACGTTAAAAATTTGTAATCCATTACCCTCAAAATTAGGAATCAGGTCAACTAGGGAGTAGTAGATCCAATTCCAATTCTTAATTTCCCTATTCGTAGATTTCCCGATTTATGAGTTTTCTTATTCCTAAAAAGTAAACATGCCCTTTATTCATCAGTTTGTCTTTTATTTACTAAATCTTTTGCAAAAATAACCCTTGACATGAGGGCTAAAATAGGTCGGATCATGAAGACGTGGATAGTGAAGACCTAAACTTAAGCCAAAAGGCTGGCTTTTTTGACCAAATCTGTTTAGATCTTGGGTTTGTTAGGTTGACGACACCGATGGCTAGGGCTTTATGGTTCATCTTTTCGAGTCTATCTTCTTTCAAGCCATTGTCATGGGCGTGGGTTGGCTGTTGTTGGGTTTTAGTTTTAGTTTTGGTATAATAAGTTTGATGCGTGGTTGTGGTTACTCTTTGGAAGAATTTGAGTTTGTAAGTTGCATTATGGATGTTGTACTTGGTTATTACATATTTGAGGAGATTAAGCCTGACTGTCTATTGCCCTATGTGACATTAAGTTGGCCCTACGTGGCTTTAAGTGGAGATGTACTATATAAGTTTGATGATGTGATTAGATCCCTCCGTATTTGGTGTAGCCCTTCGAGGGTGTTTGTCCTAACCCTTAAGGATTTTGTATTTGTAATGCACTTTTGGCGTATTTTATAATGACGATATATTTTAGAAATTTTAAATTATAGAATTAATGATAGTAGTAATTGGTATATATGGGCTTAGCCAAGTTAGCTAGAGTGGATGTGCTCTCCACTTTGCACCCGAGTTCAAATCCCTCTTCCCGTAGATTAAAGTAGAATATCAATTGTATAAAAAAAAATAAAAATAAAAAGTAGTAATTGTAGTAAACTCCATCAATAGTACTATAAATCACAAAAACAAAAAACAAAAAAAGCAATATGATGGAGAAATGGTGGTACAAAAATAACTTGCACAGAGTGAAAAATACCTGTTAAGCTAGAAGCTAGAAATAGTGGTCCAATCGCACCAGTCTCTGTGGCCCCCAAATTGCTTAAGATCAATAAATATGGAAGCCCAAGTTGAGCACCAAGCACCTGACTCTCTCTCTCTCTCTCTCTCTCTCTCTCCTTGTTTATGTTCTGAAAGTAATTCATCCTCAGTAACTCGGTTCAGAGTGTGTCCCCCTGGCTTTGTCAGTTTGCCTTTGTTCATGAAGTATTTATTTTAACCCCCAAGTCTTAAAAAGGAATCCTAGGAAGCAACGAGTTTCCAGATTTTTTTATTTTTTATTTTCTTGCCGAATGACCTTCCAGATTTTGCCAGTAGGAAAAGTTTTACTGCAGCACCAATTAAGAAATTATTAAATTTAAAGTAGCTGAAAAACCAAAAATTAAATTTAAAGTCAACAGAGAATGCAGACATTAAACCGCTAAGCAAAAATTTGTTTCTTGTTTGGAAGTTGGTACAAATCAGGTTGAGTCACTTGGCTTTTCCAATCATGTAAACCTATAAGCAAAACTTCGACACCATTAATTCTTAGATCGTCAGAAGTTCAAAATCTCAAGGCGAGTAATCCAACATGACCAACATGATGTCCCCGTTGCTAAATTCACAGTATGATACGTCCTTATTAATAAGTTAGTCCAAAACTACGCTCTCAATTGTGATCAAGGTCAGTCGAAAACTAATTTACATAAATTGTAGTGATTTGAAAAGGAAAACATAAACTATATGGACCCAAAAGCCACAAAAAGAAAACAAAAAACTAGGATCGCATATCTAATTCTGCCCGACTGTTTTTTTATATGACATCCCAAACACGCACCACCAAATTCTTCGAACCAGAACTAGGGCCATTCATTGCTACACAATGAACCGCTGCTGCAAAAGACCCACTTAACTCCTGGTTTCGTGCTCGACAGGAAACTGAGGGTGCATCTAGCCATGCCAATGGATTTAGCTTCTGCAAATGAAAGGATTCTCTCATATAGAGCATGTATAAGTATAGCAGCACTATCTAATCATCTTCATTTTCTCTTTTACATTCTTGATCTTCAAATAAGTCTTCGGGTGGGTCATAGATGATCATATCAGGAAATAGCTCCAAGAAGTCATCTTTCACCTTCTCCCTCAATTCTGGGTATGGAAGAAGCCCCTTCAATATTACTCTAAAAGGCAGTGAGATTGGGGGATCAGGAGATTGTCTCATTTCATCATATATCTCCATTGCCTCCGAGGGCAATCCATTATCTAGAAAAGCCCTGATAATATCCCCAAAAGTATGCTGATCAAACAGAACTTCCTCTCTCTTCAGATCTCCCCAAACCTGCTTTGCTTCATCTACCTTTTTGTTTCTTCCAAGCATCATAAGCATGTCCCTGTAAAAGAACATGTCTGGTCGATACCAAATTTCTTTACGGACCACATCATATATCTGAAAAACATAATGTGTTAGTAAAAGCAACCAAGCTCATTCAATGAAATTTTAATCTAAAGAGATCGTACTCAGAACTATTATATGTCCAAGGTCCAATATTGGATTAAAGCTAAGGGATGCTACAAGTGGCAAGGTGGTGGCCATGGGATGTCCTCAATCCCTGTGACCCATCCATATGAGTAGGCTCGGCAAAACCCTTGGATAGCTTCTTTGATATCTCAATAAAAAGAAATATGACCAACTGTGGTTCAAACATATATACAAACAATTTATCTTTTCATACTTCTATTAGATAGTGCCCACAAATCTCATGATAGGTTCCCAATGATGACCCACCACACCCAAAAAGAGTTTAATTGCTGAACAATTTACAATAACGATGTGATTTATAGATCTTGCCCCATGTCACAACCGACTGTAAGTTCCTACCTTTAGAATATTTACCATTTTCTTAATTTTCTTGTAAAAACAAACTAATGGCAACAAGAAATAATTTCAAAAAAAACAACAAAAACGAAAAGTATGGTGATTATAAAGGTCATAGAAAGTCTGGCAATGAAGGTGGTTCAACCATTTCTAAGGTTTCTATTTCAGGTTTCAGGTATAAAGATATCCCTCTACAGACTAGAACCTTTCCTTCTTCATCAACTTTTACTGCTTTCTTCTTCCATTCTTTCCTCTGTTTTCTAAGATTTATGTGTCTTTGTCAGCATTCAAATGGAAATTATAACAACAAAGTATAGATCACGAACATCCAGGTCACACTTACACGATTAGAAGTGCACTTGACATGAAATGATGGCTCCAGATTCACACATCCAATTTAACTAATATGCTTTTATGGTGCCAAAGTTCACAAAGACGAGAATTGTGACTCCAAATTTGGGATAAAAAGAAAAACAATTTTAGGAAGGGGGACACCTTAAAAGGATGGAAGAAGATACACTCATATAATAGTAGAGTCCAAACCAATCTAAAAAAAGACCTTAAGGACTTTACTTCTCTTGTCTAAAAATAAGAACAGAAACTTTCTTCCTGAGATACTGAGGGGAAAGTAACAACTAAAAAAGACTTCAATATAGCAGCTAGATTGTAGTAATAAGACAGAAACTCGGGTCATTTAAGTCAAAGACGATTTATTTATTTATTTATTTATTTAAATAGAGAAACTCAAGGAAGATGATATTAAATGAACTCCAATTGACTAAATTTGAAAGAATAATGAAATAAAAATATTTTACTCTGAGCAGCTAACCATAAAACTATTACACTTTCACAGGTAAACCAAGTCTCCCAAATCTCTTTCAAAGGAAAGAAAGCATTCCTAAAACCTAACAAATCATCATAATAAGATCGCAGTGACACATCAACCGTATTGTCCCCCTTGCACAGAATAGGATCAACTACAAGAATGAAAAGGTATCAACTAGCTAGATTCCCAATCATTCAAATTTATCAAAAACACTGGATTCCAAGAAGAATATCTCCACTCACCCGAGATAATAGATAGTAGACTTGATTAATCACAAACACACAATGAAACTATGAAAGAAATCCTCACATCCTTCTCCAAACAACAGAAAACTAACAACTGGTTAATTTAACATTCCATCCTCTATTAATCATATAGGAAATTTAGAAGAAAAAATAAAAAAGAAAACAAACCTTCATGGAGAGAAAGACCTGGTCTTGTCTCTGGAACTCGGCGAGAACAGCTACAAGATCGGACTTGAGCAAGCGGGACACGTTTGAGCGTATGAACTGGTTGAGGCGGAGAGGATGGGAGCGGAGCCTCTTGAGCTCCTTAGCCGCGATAAGACCCTCCTTCCCCATCTCTTTCCTGCGCCTCCATATGGAGAGGCTGGGGCTCGACGCCTTCGACCCCCAACAGAAATAACGTTTCTGGAAAGGGTGGTCTCCTTGTTGGCATTGAGGGAAAGTGTTTCGAAGCAACAAACATACTGAGAAATTGAGAGAGGAGGGTGAGGCTGCAGGGGTTCTAGATGAGGTTCTTCGTACAAGATTGGGAGCCAGGCGTAACATTAGATTCCGGTTGAAACGTTAAGGGCGGCGGGGGACACAATCAAAATCAAATAGAGCTCAATGCACTCTTCCTGCTCTCCTCATAAGTCATCGCTCTGGCAAGCCAAACAACACAAGTCAAACCACACATGATATAGCGGCTGGAAGCAAATGTCACTCAAACTCAAAGGAAGGGCAACTAGGTAATGCACGCAAGCAACACTCGTGCCTACCTGCTGCTTCGCTGGGGAAATTAGTCAAACACCTGGTAACTGTCACTAAATAAATAAATAAGTTTGGGAAACCCAACCAAAACTGCCTTATGAAGATCTTGTTATGGAAAGAGACCAACACATTCCTATAAATCGGCTCAATACAGCTTGACTTTCTTTTTAGCCAAAACCAAGTTCAAACTCAATAGAGTATAAAGAAGCCAAGCTTGAGCACTGTGAAGATCTGAAGGAAAATTTTCCAGTTCCAGGTAAACCAAATTGTTCGTCTAAGACTACCGTAATCGTACAAATCCCAAGTGACTGTCACTAAATAAATAAACAAGTTTGGGAAACCCAACGAAAACTGCCTTAAGGAGAAAATAGTAATGGAGAAAGTGAAACGTTTACCAACCTTTCGAAGATATGAAAAGTGGGCCACTCTTGAAGACCTGGTAGATCATCTCATGTGTTAGAACTCATGAATAATCACGACCCACCAAGCACTATGTGAAACTAGTTCAAAAATTAAGCACCAAAGGAATGGAACGGAACGTCCCAAATATTATCAGGTCACATTGATAATTAAGAAACTGTGATTATGATGAACTGGCAGTTAAGAACACATTCGAATGATCAAGAATGAATAAAACATCGAATGTTTCATGGATTCCCTGAAATTTTAGGCAAGTTGAGGTTTTGTTCAAATAAAGGAAACAGCATTGCAGTTACATTCACATAACAAAAATAAAAACATTACAAATACGTGTCAACATTACTTGAACATAGTAGATTGAACTCAGCCTAATATCACTTCAATCATTTCGACAAGTGAAATTGGTACAGATAAGTAGGGGAACCATGCTTTGAATTTCTTTTACCTTTCATTTTCCTTTTTACACTTCCCTCAGCAATCAGTACAGAAAAGGGAAACAAATCAATAAAGTTAACAAATTTCATAACATTTCGGACATTACACCATCTGGGATTTAAACGGAACCAACATCAAGAAACGTAGCATTCCCTTTAGTTTTGGTGCCTTCCCACAGAAGCCAACTAAATTAAACTTTTGACAATAGAAAACAAAACAAAAGAAAAATTCCACAACTTTGCATCCAGTTCAACTCGTTTTCCCAATAACCAAGCAAACCAGAGGAGCAGAAACCGTACCGTATTAGAACCTCCAGGTCTTGGGCGCTCAAAAGCAGCTAAAGAGGCCGACATTTTGGCCGACGAGCATCGAAATCGCGGTCAGCAACAGCCAACATTTCAGCGACGCGAACCGTCGGAGCCGCCCATTTAACCGACTCGGCGGAGACGGAGCAGATCGGCGAGCGAGCTGAGATTTCAGCAGCACGATCTGAAAACCCAGCACAGAGAGAGAGAGAGAGAGAGAGAGAGAGAGGGGCTTCAAGAAGAAGAATGGGTTTTCTAGGGTTTTGAATTTGAAGAGATGGGTGGGAGAGTTAAAAGAAGCAACAACCAGAATTACTGGTGTCTGGTTATGGATATCAAAGAAGAATGTGAAGGAAGCAAAGCAAGCAAAAAAGGTGAGCTTTAAATCTCTATATTTGTTGGAATTGCTTTGCTTTTTTTATTTTTGTTTTTTTGAAGTTTTAATTTTTAATCAATTAGATTAGGTAGTAGAGTACAGCAGTGGCTCCAGCAGTATTTATTTTTTGGGGGTTTCACTAAAACACCCAAAATGGAGGCTGAAATTATAAAAAAACCCAACACCCAAAACACTTTATAAACACACCCAAAACCCATCATTACACACACTCAAAACCTATTTATAAACACACCCAAAAAATATACAATTGTTGATTTTGGGGTTGAGTTTGGGTGTGTTTCTATGTTTAAATAATGTTAGGATTTTTTTATAAATACATGTCTATGATTGGGTTTATTTATAAATTTGTATTATTTTTTATGGCTAATGAATAATGAGAGAATGTGTTTGCTTTTCACCTACTTGAAGTTGAAGAAGGAGAGGGGAGGAGAGGAGGGGTAGGGTGTGGTCGTGTGCAGTCAAGATGATGGAGAATCTGGAGCAATAGGAACAGTCCAAGCTGCCAAGCTGGCACTGGGAAAGGATCTAGAGGCCCCCTAGTAATCTGAATTCTGAAGAGTTGCGTTACTTTCACTTGTTCATGGGCCCTGTCTGTGTGTAAAGAGATTTCAACTGTACATCCACCGGTTTGATAGCTCTACGCTCGTGCCAGTTGTGAGACAGATTTGTTTTTTTTGGGCTGAAGACTAGTTTATTTGTTTTTGGATTTAGAGAACATATTGTGTTGGTGGAAGTCAACTCGACCCATAACAAACATTAGACGTAATGAGGTTGCACAACCGATAACATATCAAAAGCCTTATAAGTTTCACGAAGGTGCTATCCATAAGAGCAAGTCCACCCTTGCTTCAAAACCGGGCAAAAGGCAGCCTAGGGGGGAAGGAAGCAGCTCCAGCGCGCAAGGGCCAGCCCTGGCAAGAGCTGGGTCCCACGAGCCCAAGCAAGTCCACGGGCAAATTCAGCATGAGCTGCTGCCAGGGCAAACTGATGCAATGCTGACGTCATAATGACGTCAGCAACCCAAAAAAAATGAAAAAAAATACCATAAATTCCAGAATTTTTTTAAATAAATACCTAGGCATATTCTTTACTTTCCACACCAAAAACTATATACAAATTCATCTCCTCATATCTCATATGAATAGTATTTGCCTTAGACTTGCCCTAGACTTAGCTCTCAAGTGAATAGTGACAGCCCTTGCTTGCCCTTGCCTTAGACTTAGCCCTTGTGGGTGGAAATGCTCTAAGAATGCTACATAAGGTAAGTCGACAGTGGACTCAATCTCACAATTCAATAATTGCAGTTTGCTTTAGTAGACCTTAATCATCATGTCTATTGTTCTACTTTTTGGAGTGTTGTTGTGCTTGTTATTCAGTTTTGGGATGGCAAAAATAAACTATCATGCGCCCCTCATTCATGTTGGGACTCGTTTGCAGCTCCTTACTCGGGTTAGGAAATGTTTGGTTTTTATTTTGTTTTAATAATTTGTAGCGTTGTTCTGCATGATTCAAGTATCTATTTGAACAAAATTGGTTGGTTACTGAATTGATGTTGGTCACTAAATTGATGCTGGTTGGGTTTGAACTAATTCATACAATGGTGATATTTCATTTTATTAGTTTAAGGGTGTATTTAAGTTGGATTTTAAACGACTATTTTGGGATAAATAAGTCTTGTGGTATTCAATTAAGACTTTTAAATGATCTAAACAAGTTTTAGTGGCCAATCTACGAGTCCTTGGTCCACCCGATCAATAATTCCCTGGTCAACTTGATCCACAATCTGTCGATCAGCTCGACACACGATCCTTCAACCAAGGCCGACAACCTCCCTTAGGGCTCATGGCCAAAGTTTGAAATCCACCTCACGGTCCACGACCGAGGTCGGGATTTTCACCCATGATGGGGCCACCATCAAGCCAATCTTGGTGCCGCTTTTGCCACTTATGGCCCGATTGTGGAGCAAATACGACCATTCCCTCCTTTACCACCTCGCTTGACTTTCCCAGCTTTCCCGTACACCTCCAACAAGACCCTAGCTTGAGTGCAATTGGGCTCCATACAATTCTCTCCTCTTGATCTACGTAGTCAAGCTGACCTTAGTCTTAGAGTCAACTAATGGACTCAAAGAGTAGACAACCAAAACACCTTGGCTGGACAGCTCATCCATTGCAACCTTGATGAAATCTCTTCCTCTCGTCCTCCTCTACAAAACCCACCCAAGACCATATTTGATTAATTAATGGTGAGCTTGAATCGAAGCTGAGAAAAGGGTTAGGTTTTCCGGCAGTGTTCTAGCATTTTTCGAGGAATCCAGCTGCCAAAATTGTCGAACCAGGTATCAAACTTCATCCTCTCATCGTGCTCTACCTGTTTATGTGCTTGGTTTGGTAAATTCTGAGGTTTGAGAGATTGATTTATAATCCCCAATTAAGCCGATGGTTTGATTGTGTTTCTGCCTATTTTCGATCAGTTTTTGCTATGGTCCAAGAACAAAAGTTGATCCCCTTATTAATCTGAATATGTTGGCATAGGTATTGGCCAGTGGTTTGAAGATTTTCAGTTGCCAAAAAATCTCTCAAGACACCCACCTTTGCAGTCAGCTCGTGGCAGCTCGTGGGCCATTGCGTGGCAATCCACTGAGTTTTAAATTGTTCCCCTTGTCGTCCTGGGCACGACGGTATGCTCGGATTTGGATTTGGTTATCGTTTGACAGGCGAACGGATATTGCACCTATTATGGGATATCCGGGTTCGATAGGTTCGGACCGTTCGATCGGTCCCAATTTCAAATATGTTGTTCTCTGTACCTCTAGGTTAGAGGTGTCAAACGGGACGGGCCAGCCCAGCACGGCACGAGCCTAGCCCGTTTAAATGAGGCACGGCGCGAGCACAAATATTAATGGGCTGTGCTCGGCACGACATGAAAACTTGGGCCGGGCAGACATCTAATGTCGTTGTGTATATATATATATATATATATATATATATATATATTTTATAATCATAAATATATATTTGATGTCTTTCATTTTAGGGAAATTACTTGGGTCCTTAATTAATTAAACATATCAACTACAAATTAATTAAACAACATTGGACTTTATATCTAATCAGTACATATGACGTATACACTTCTCTTATAATCAAAGCAAGATATTTTTTCACACATAAAATAATAAGTTGTTTAAAAATGAAAAGTTGAAGTGGACTTTTTGGAGTTGGAAACTTTTTGCCCTTCGCCATTTCATATTGTTTGGATGTTTGATTGATTAATGTTTTCAAATAGTTCATCATTTTTTGCCTCTAATTATATTTTCAATGTTTATAATTTGAATTATCTAGTGGAAAAAAAGTCAAGTGAAAAAAAATTCAAATTAAATGGATTGGTTCTTGGGCCCGAGTATGGCACGAGCACGAGCACGGGCATGGCACGAGCCCGGCCCGGCCCGTTTCAATATGGACATGGGCTTTGGGCTGGACCGAGATCAATGATTTTACTAAATGGGCCAGCACAGCACGACCTAATAAATTAAATGGGCTGGCCCGGCCCGACATGAAAACGTTAAAAGCACGAGTTTAAATGGGATGGGCCGGCCCGGCACGGCCTGTTTGACACCTCTACTATAGGTCCATTGTTTGGGTCTTTTTTCATCAAAAGGCTTGTCCAGGCTTGTTGATTCTTGGACTGCCATAGAGTGGTGAATCAAGCCTTCGTTGCCCATTTTTCTGGGTTAGCGAGAACTAGGCCCAAAGCATCCTGAAGGAGAAGAAAGTTCTAGAGGAGTACTTTGTTGTTCTTCCAGTGGCTGTATATTTTTGTTGACGTTTCCGACAGCTCTGAAAATGGGTGAAGATGATTTGTTGATGCTGAACTGAGATTATATGAGCTTGGCATGAGAGCTTAGAGTGTGAGAGCTAAAGACCCACAAGTTTAGCAAATGAGAATGCTTGTGCTTGTCTTGGTGTTTGATATGCTTAAGTTTGGGTGTTGAGAATTTATTGTTTGAAGCTATGACTATGGTGGTTTGATTATTTGACTGTGATGGTTGTTGGGATGTTTATAGTAGTCAAATGAATGGGGCTTCAAAGAGCATGGCTGATGAAAGAAAAACTTAAGACTTTGAATGCTATGGTGTTTGTGACTACAATTTTAGAGAGATTTATGAGTTCTAGAGGTGGGAGGATGAATGAGTAGCTTGGGCTTATATGCTTGAGGTGAGGCTTTATAGAGAAGATTAAGGATTTCAAGGATGAGAAGGTAGGAGACATGGTTGTGATGGCTATTGGAAGCTTGCACCAGCCAAGAGAATAGGTTGATGATCATTGGATGCTTGCAGTAGCTAAGAGAAATGTGAGTTCTCATGGTTTCCGAGAGGTTTGCAGCAACCAAGAGGAGTTAGTTTTGCCTAGGCAATGCCTCCTAATTTATAGAAATTGAAGGCTCTCTTTGGTTTCCAATAGGTAAAGGAAGTGCTGGAGCTAATCTATTTCCAATGGGTAAAAGGGATAATTGGGATATTCTTATTTCCAGCAAGTAAAGCTAGACATTAGAAAATGACTATTTTCTATGGGTAAAAGGAAGTGTTGGAATTGGCTTGTTTCCAACGGGTAATAGGGAGTATTGGGACATTCTTATTTCCAGCAGGTAAAGCTAGGCATTGAAAAATGACTATTTTCCTATGGGTAAAAGGAAGTGCTTAAAGAATATATCATTTGCTCACCCACCTTTGATAAATCCAAGTAATGGGCTTGAACTTTGGTGCTCTTAAGTAGCTAGCTCAAAGTCTCTATTATCAAAGAGCTTCCGTGGGGCTTGTGGACCTCCGTAACCTTCCACACCATAATCTCTCGTGTAAGCCCCGTAAATCACATGACTTGAGTTCATGCTTGGTAGGTGATTGGCATAGGAAAAATGTATTAGCTTGGCATGGAGTAATTTGGCATGTGCTTGGAATGCTTTGACATGTCTTATAATGACTTGGGCTTTTATGACCGAGTTTAGTGACATATCGGAATTAAAGGAATAAGTTTTTGGCATGACATGGATGCCATTAGAATTTGTATAAAAACTGGCGTACATATTTATTTTGTCGAATTAAT